GTTGGCGATATGAAAAACAGGTACAATGAGAAGTATGTGATAAACATTATTATTTCGTTTGTGTACTTAAATTTTTTAGACAATTTTCTTAACTGAAAAACACAACAGCTCCTACATTACTTATATGGTGATCATAACCGATGAAGCGCGAGATTTAGGATGCATGTTCTCGAATGCATTCTGAATACTCTTTAAATTGGCAAAACCGGTTTTTTAAACCGTTTCATATCAGTGTCGGTGTCCATGCTGTGCGTGAACGCATATGAGAAATCAAAAAAGACCAACGTTCATAACGGTATTTAACAACTTCGTCGGTAGTTTTGTTCATCATGCTGTTTAAATTTATGTAAATATCCTGTATTAAGTAACTTGTCTGCGGATCTCATATTTTGAATATAAATAAAATATTCATTTGTTCAGGCAGACTTTTTACATCTACGGTTCTCATGCTGTATAAAAGCCCAAAATATTAGAATAATATTTTGAACGAGCTTTGCACTTTTGTAGACATATTTTTATATGGTTTTGCCATTTGTTACTCATCAAATTTTCCGTTATTTCTTCTCTACTTTCTTCGGTCCCGCTTTATATTAGAGGAACTAAAGGCTGCGCATTGCTCTATTTCATGTATCTAGACCAGACCTGCATCGCACTTGTTCCAAACGCAACAATTGTAGGTAACACATTAGTATATACAAGTATGTATGTATTTGTGAAGAAAAAGCTATCATTTTCTGCCGTGTTTACATTATTAGGAGCGCGTAACGTTTGGACTGATATCAAAAAAATATATGCAAGTAATAATTGAGTGCATAGAAATAAATATTAGGCAAAATAGTACAGATGCAGGTTGCGAGAAGAGGAATTTATAGTACTAATAATAATACTTAGAATTAGAATGCCGCTATCATATTTAGAGTGTGATGCAAAAATGTATACATCCTGTCACCCCCTTTAATTTTACCTATAGGCCTGTTCTGTCACATTCTACGGTACGTCTATCGTTTACACGAGCTACTATAGGCCGGTATATACCGCGATGATCGTAGGATGGCTACGGTTATAAATTGTGCCTAATATTATTACAATCATATATACACATTCATTTATCCATCTAATGTATACTAGATCTGTATATGGCAATGTACAATATCTTCTAGCAGTTGTTTTTGTTTGTTTCGAAAACACTGTTTATTCTTTAAATATTCTAACGCGTGTGTGTATCATCCACGCGTGTTTCATGCAATGAATAGCAAACTGACTACCGCCCAAGAGACTCACAACATTGCCAGTGGGTTTTTGAACCCGCGTTGACCATAGTATTTCACATGAGCTGTACAACATAAAAACAATTTGTCTTAAATAAACAAAGGTGTATAAAACGATAAATCTTGAGTTACATTTCATTCGCTATATACATATGTATTTTTTTTACCTTGTGCTATTTTTCTAATGGCTACCAACAGACTTATGTGTGTTTTAAACGGTACTGCACGTTATATGGTAGCGTATTCCATTCATTTAGTATTTGTTCAACTTGCGTGAGATTAAGTAAGTTAATGTGTTAAAAACGTTTAGTTCATTAAAACCTTTATTTAACCAAGTGCACCGGATCTAAAAAATCGAAAAAACGTAAACTATTATGCTTTTTATGAATTTTAAATTTATTTTAAAGGGTGCATTTTGATGATTCTATTAATTCAACAAACTCTAATATGACACTCACAAATTGGTTCCATATAGACTCAAGGAAGATGGGAATAACTTCAGTTTGACTGGCGGTAGCAAATGTATATACCTTCTTCGAGGAGGGGCCCTTGTTAGTATCAGTAAATAGAGTCAGCTCCCAAATTTGTGATTTTTCTCGAAATCAATCAGTTTAGCTTAGATGAATATCTTTTTCTTTAAGTTGAATTTATATAGTAGAATCGACTGGAACATAACCGATTTTGCCACAAGTACCAGACACGTATTACACTTGCGGCGACTTCGGAGTATCTTAATTAACTATAAACTATCATTGTGCTTTCGATTTTTAAATGGCCAAAAGTGACTTTTGATTTCTTCATTTGTTGATAATAATAATTCATGCGACAGGATAAATTTAATTCCGAAACGCCAGAACAATCTTACGCCGTTCTGTAGTCAGAATTCAGATTAATCAATAAATATGCTTTTTGAAAATAAATTTGGAATTCAAAAATCTTTTTCAAAGCCGCTGCTGCCTTCATCTGTTTGGTTTTAAGCATTACTGGGAATCCTTATCGAGTTTAAAACAAAGCATTATTGTTATAGGGGTGAACAATGAAAAAAGGGGATATAATAAAAATAGTAATTGACAAAATAAGACAGGAGCACACATTGTAGCTATTTCGATTTAGTATGAAAAGAGCTATTAAATCTTGTAGCGAAATTTGTACGATGAGTTTATTTGGATGTAATACTGATCGCACCTTAGCCAAGAATTAAAAAAAACTTACAGAGGTACCTCAATTAAATAAAAAAATTTACAAAGCGAACTCAGCAGATAATATAACCAGCAGATAAGGGAGCACTAGCTTGCCGATCACCTTTTTTGGGACAAAATTAAAGAACTGCATTAATTAGTTACCCTTAATAGGAAACCTTTTATTTGAAATGGGGTTACCCTTTTTTATGTTCTACAGTAACATATTTTTATATTATGAGCGTTATACGATAACTCTTACCATGCAACTAGGAGTTATTCCATAATATTACCGCTGCGAACCTAACGTTAGGATTAAACTTTAAAGAAAACGAGGCACTCACGAACTCCCATTGTAGTTCTTGTCTTCAGCTTTCTCTCCCTCCCTGCCTTTCTCTATATATATACATATATATGTTAATACTCCAAGTTTCGTCAACGATATGTACAGGACAGCTTGTGTGAATGAAGGGACTTACCTATATATAATGTACTTCTCTACTTATAAGAAAAAAGAACGAAAAGATGAGTTTTAGATTTGCATTGCTTAGCACCGGCGAAATACCATTACTATAATTTATTAATTATTCGACACCATTTCCACTTGACTTTACTATCTATCAAGTGGTCAGTTATTCCATCTTTCTTGTTATAATCATAGTATCTCCCATGCATATCACCGTTTAGTGGTTTCAGTTTCCCTCTTTCCGTAAAGACGTCGAGAGTGTCCCATCTTTTCCGCGCATGCGTACATACATGACATATTTGATACCAAGATAGACCACTATAAGAAACAACCAATGCGCGTATTCCTGTTTTACCATATATCCCACATATGTGTACTGAAGACCTAAGTCTACTTCGGTACAGTTACTGTATATCATTGTTGCTTTGGCTTCATGTCTTCAGGTTTCATATTTCGCTCATTAGCCGTATATGGCAACCGCTTATTCCTTTAGCTGATTGCTTCTTCGATGGGTGTCACTCCCCCCCACCCCGGGTACAACATATGTTTTCAGTACGCTGACAGCTGACAGTGATCGCTATTCAGGATATGATGATATGGTATAGTCTTTAATAGCTGTTTTGTCACCTGACTCTGACGAAAGATTTGTCTGGTTCTCAATTCTGCATCGGCTTAAGTGCGGAATGGCTCAGATCGATAATTCCTGACACCATAACTCGGTTATAGCAGAAATGGTAGCAGTAGTTAAGCTAACAATTGTCTTCATACACAATTATCTTCATACGTTGAACCCATGTTGAAAATCGCGTTCGGACATTTTGACTCCAAGAAAACGCATATGGTTTTGGGGTATACCAGGGCACCCTATGATCTTGTTACCTATGATATTTAGAATAATATCACTCACTCAGTTATGTTTATTATATTATATTATCATTTTTTTTTTCATTATCAGTAGCATATTGTAATGGTAATAGAAATTAGGATTATTAAAGAACCTTGTGTTGCTAACGCAAAGGCTAAAGCTTCTGAGAAAGATAAGCTGTCTTATTTACCTGTGATGGCTTCGCACACTACCATACATGCGCTACCTAAGCTTGCTTAGGTAACGATACCGTGCCGCAGAAATCTATAATACATGTTATTGTTATTATATTATTACGTATCTTATATGTACATATGCTGGTTCCGGCGGTCTGACTACGGTGTTTGTTGAAATTGGTAGGTAAAAATATGAGATGATAATAACAAAACGGTCAGTCGACGGCAATTCATCCAGATTAAATACACCGCAAGTCATGCGGAAAAACCGTTGTGTATACATATTAGTCATTTTAGTACGTCAATACCCATAAAAATTTGTGATGACAAATGCAAACGAATACGAAATAACAAACGATTTTAATTAATATATAATATTCATTTTGTAATTATTTCAATTAAAGCTAGCTTTTGTTGTGGCTGCTGGCGGCATATTATAAATAGCAAAATGGTGATTTTCACCCAAACCGGCTGTAATACTTCACTATTGCTGCTGCTTTTGCCTTCACAAATATTTTTCCACCATTGAATCTGAATTGTTTTTTTCCTAATTGGCTACTGTAGAAAGCTTGGGCCTTCTATTAGTTAGCTGGGATCGTAATACACCTGCAATTATAAATCACTTCATTCTGTAACACGTTTGTTATAATCAGACCCACGACGATACTCCATAGCACGTTTTATCAAGGTGTGTCCTATCCGTTACTACCTTATGGAGTAAGCGCTTTGTCATTTTTGCTCGATATTATTAGTCGTTCAGTAATGAAGCGTTCTCCATTTGATTGATATATAATTAGAATTACAGCTCTATCGTGCTTCCGGTGCCATGCAAGTGTTCACTTGTCGGTGGGGGCATGAGAGGTGTGAGGCCTGGAGGACCCTCCGAAGGATTTCCTGTGGCTCCTGAGTGGTGATGTTGTGGATTATTGGTTTCCAACTCAAGTGCCCAAACGTGCTGGGGCCATCCGGTCCGACCCTTTTTACCCCGACCCGGTGCGTGTAGCATCGCCAACGCCTGAAATGAAGCAAACATTAAATAAGAGGCAGCTTGATAAGGCTATAGATATATGAATAGCATGAATAGTTTTGGCACACCGATATTAACTAATGCTTTTTCCTAGTTACACGCAGTTGTTTGTTTCACCAAAGTGCGAAACAACACTGAACCTGAAGGTTAGGTTTACCATTAAGGCTGTCAGCTTAATTCATTTCGTCGAGTTATGTCCCTCCACAATGTGCAACTAATACACGCATAACAATAGATTGGTAGACATCCCAGTGATATGAACGTTTGATTTTCGCTGAACGTCATCCAAATATGATACTGCTATTTGATTGTTGCTTGACCGTTATTAAACGTTATAAGGAAAACACGTACGTATAATTTACTAATAAAGTAGGTTTCGAGTAAAGATAATCCTATTTGCCCAGCAACAAGAAATTATCAGCAGTCTACTTTTGAGTACCTATAACTGCTACTTCTTACGAATTATTTGTTCAGCAGTTATGAATTGTTCGTCTTCGATCGATATATATTTTGACGTTTTGTGTGACATATAAAAGGACTGTGCGGTTTTTCCTCTGCTAAGAGACTAAAAGGCTGAATGAACAAAAAACCCGAACACGCCCCAAGATGGTGGAAAAAGTGTATCTCTAGGGCAAGTGGCTCTCAAAGTGGCATGGACCACCCAGCATAACGATGGAGTCTACGTCTTCGACGCCGACTACATCGCTGTCCTATTGAGGGCAGTCTTTTAAGAGTAGCCCCAACACGACCAGCAGGACTACTGCTTATCGTAGCACTGTAGTTCATTTTTCTTTCTTTTTGCTACTCACTCGCGTACAGTCAGAAACTAGCGGTCTCTGTCCTCTTGTCTCATTGTGGACCATCGCCTCTCTCAGACGCCCGCTCTCCATACTTCTCCAGTGTATCTCTGCCTGTATTTCCCTGCACTCAGCTGTCTGTGAGCGTCATTTACCCTGTCGTCCACATTTGACGTAAACCAGACGTTTTTTTTTTTATCTCCGTCTCTCTTTTTTTTTTTGGTGTACATATTCCCATCTGGAATCACGTCTTTGGGAAGAACCACTGCGTGAACAGAGCACAACGAACCCTTGGTGCTGCCTGTAGTGGTAAAACAGTGGTATTAAGATGCGGTGCACGGTGGCAAGTAAAGCTTTGAGCCAGAGCTACCTAACAGTTTTGCCCCCGGTGCTTTCTGAATAGTTGATTCCTACTTCGTGAGGGCAGCTGAGTGAGTTGTTGAACGGGCCTTAGGGGTACTGCAGATATGGGCTGAGAACGGCAAGGCAAGGCTACCCTTCGCGAAGCTTGATCTAGATTTTAGATAAATGGAAACGCATGATAATACATGGGAGGGCAGGGCGTCGAAGATTTTGCGTAGGGGGCATTGATACGTGGAATATACAAAAACGATACGCGTTCAGGCACAGTGAACATGTGGCATATTGGAAGCGCATAGGATATCAATATATAGGACAGTAAGGGTCAAGTAATTTCGCAGTTAGAGTGGCTTTCTTTCGGCAGAGGCAAATCAATGTGAGGTCAAGGGCCATGGACGATGTCTAAGCTTACCGACCTGATTACGTTACTAATAGTAATACGCTTTATTTATAGGGAAATATCAACAGAGCGCTACCTATGAGTAGGAAGAACAGCTGTTTTATATAGGTCTATTGCAGAGTATTCATGTGCTCACGCGTAGACTACATGGAGAACCTAAAAAATTGACATACCCTAACATTCATTTTACGGTTTTTGTTTCTCCAGGTGCTCGGATTATAGGTAGACGTTGCATAATACGATTCATAAATGTTTTTAGTTTTCTGTTCGGTAATGCCGTTGTTAAACACTGTCTCAGGAGTTTACTTCCCAGTACGAAGCGAAAAGGGTCCATGCCAGCTTCGACCCTTCGAACCCAATTTCATTGAGTGTTTCTAGACCTAGTAAGCTAATACTTTACCACTACGCCATCATGGGGATTAGACATTACTGTACAAAAACTTTAGACTGGTTTTTCAGTTGCACATACTGAAACAAGTTAATATTGCCCGAGATATTTCAACTTTGTTTTATGTAAATGGCAGATCGCATTACACTGAAGAGTTAATTTCAATCTATCGCTTTAGTAACAGTGTAGACTCTGTTCAACCTCCTATGAGCTTATTTTACTGACGCAGCTGTCTTGTCCGTGTCAGGGTTCCCAACCAGCTGGGTTCCACTGCGCCGTCGCGTCGTCCTATGGAAGCGCGATTGGTGGGCGAGGGCGGTCCGTTCCGATTTAGGCGGAGCCAATGCCCCTGCTAGGACATGGGGGCAAAGAAAAGGGGTGTTGGTGGGGGGTGGGGGTAAACTCCCGCACTTTACGACAAGGTGTGGGAAAAGTGGCAACTGGAGAATCTACTCGCATCTGTATGGCAGCATAGTGGAATGCTTTAGATGATCACGGAGCTAGGGAACACCAAAAGATGGTGGCGGTAGGGTTCGTCCCCGTGGTAAAAAGCCTTGTAGGCATTTAGACACCTGGCATGGTATTGTGTTATCGTTCCTTGTAGGTGTTGCTGCGTTTGTATTAGGTATTATAAACGAGTTAAGCTGGGTGTATCACAGTCTCTGTTAGGCAACGTTGTACGCTTATGGAGAACGGAACGGTCATCTTTCCCTAGTTGTATTGACAGGAGTTAATTACGAGAAATTGTACTACAGCAGTGAGTTGAATTATGGATTGACTTGACTCACACCTGTTTAATCACTCCAAGCAGCCCTAAATACACACAAATA